CTCTCTCTCTCTCTCACTCGTCTCTCTTCTCTCTCTCTCTCTCTCTCTCTCTCTCTCTCGCTCTCTCTCTCTCTCTCTCTCTCTCTCCTCTTCTCTCTCTCCGCTCTCTCTCTCGATCTCTCTCTTCTCTCTACTCTCGCTCTCTGCGCTCTCTCTCTCTTCTCTCTCTCGCTCTCTCTCGTCTCTCGCTCGCTCTCTCTCTCTCTCTCTCTCTCTCCGCTCTCTCGTCTCTCTCTTCTCTCTCTCATCTCTCTCGTCTCTCTCCTCGCTCTCTGCTCTCTCTCGCTCTCTCTCTCCTCCTCTCTCTCTCTCTCTCTCTCTCTCGGTATCTCGGGCTCTCCTCTCTTCTTTTCGGTATCTCTCTCTTCTCCCTCTCTCTCTCTCCCTCTCTCCCCTCTCTCTCGCTCGTCCCTATCTCTCTCTCTCTCTCTCTCTCCTCTCTCTCCCTCTCTCACCTTCTTCCCTTCTCTCTCCCTCTCTCCCATCTTCCTCTCGCTCCTCTCTGCCCCTCCTCCCTCTCTCGCTCGCTCGCTCTCTCTCTTCTCTCCTCTGTCTCTCTCTCTCTCTCTCTCTCTCTCTCTCTCTCTCTCTTCTCTCTCTCTCTCTCTCTCTCCTCTCTCTACGCTCTCTCTCCTCTGTGTGCAACTGTGTGAAATTTTGTCGTGTGATGTGTGTGTGTCCTCTTTCTGCTACGCTCTCTGATTTTCTCTCTCTCTCCTCTCTCTCTCTCTGCATGTCTAACCATCTCTCTTCACCTCTTCTATCACTCGCTCTCGCTCGCGCTCTCTTCTTCTGCTCTCTCTCTCTCTCTCTCTCTCTCTCTCTCTCTCTCTCTCTCTCTCTCGCTCTCCCTCTCTCTCTCTCTCGCTCTCTCTCTCTCTCTCTCTTCTCTCTGTTTGTCTCTGTCTGATCTGTTTCTTATCTCTCTCTCTCTCTTCTCTCTCTACTCGCTCTCTCTTTCTCTCGCTCTCTCCTCTGACCTGTCTCTCGTTCTCCTCGCTCTTTCTTTCGCTCACCCTCCCTCATTTCTTTTTGCCCCTTGCTTTCTCTCTGTCTCTCTCCCTCGCTCCTCGCGCCCGCTCTCTCTCTCTTTCATCTCTCTCTCTCTCTGATCTCTCTCTTCTCTCTCTCTCGCTTTCTCTCGCTGCATGTCTATCGATCTCTCCCCTCGCTCGCTTCACCCTCTCTTTTCTGTCGCTCGCTCGACTCTCGCACGCATCTGTCTCTCGTCTCTCTCTCTCTCTCTCTCTCGGCTCGTGATCCTCGCTCCCACCTCTCTCGCTCTCTCTCTCTCTCGCTCCTCTCTCTTCTTGCTCCGCTCTCTTGCTCTCTCGCCTCTCTCTGCAGCCGTCTATCTATATCTCCCCTCTTTTGCTCGCTCGTTCGCTCTCGCGGTCCACCTCTCTGATCTTGTCGCTCGCTCGCCTCGCATCGTGTCTCTCGCTCTCTCTCTCTCTCTCTGCTCTCTCTCCTCTCTCGCAATCTTCTCTAATGATGATCCCTGGTACAAGTAGCCGTCAAGATACTCTAATAAGACCTGACATTAAAAGATGAACCTTTTGGTTGCTAATGAAGCGAGCGCCGGGCCCACGACGTTGCTCGAAAACATCTTGATTTCCGTGTCCTCAGCGGACGTGCATTGGCACTAGAATTGGACGTAACGATTTAATATCTGCAGTTTATATAAACTTGCGAAAACGGAAATTGGAAAAAACTGAAATGCAGGGGTGATTGACTCGCATACGAACTATCTGGGCATTGTCTGCCAGGCTGACAGGGTTTAGAGATAATATATGACTCTGTTTGTATAATAACATAAATACTAACTAATATATATAGTTATACATGTTGTAGATATGGCATATATATATAAATATATATAATATATAAGTATCTATATGTGGTATATAGACATACATATATATATAACACCGGCCGTCTATCTCTGTGCACCTCGTTGCGTAAGTCAACGGCGAGCGGTAACCACTCAAGCACTGCAGACGCGTGGCCTCGAAACGTGATAAGTGTTCGTGGCTCCAGTCGTGGCGATTGAACCTGAAAAAACTTTGCATGCGTATAGATCAATGTCATTGTGTTGATTGTGCCGCTTTAGCCAAGGAAAGGAGAATGAAGTAGGAGACGAGAGCTGCTACATATAGTCGTTACCGTGACGAGACCTGTCGCAAAGTATTTAATACTGAAAGACCACGCATATTATGGCAACTATAAGCATGAAAAAGAGGCAATACGAATTGAACTCATTCAGGTAGTGGGTTATCCTGATTAATCCATGTATATTGCTGTAATTAAACACGAGTGAACGACATGAATTAAGTATGAAATTATAACAAGCTACGGAAGCTGGAGTTGAGCTAGAAATTCCTCTATATTTATTTTACTCACTTAGCTGCAATTATGAGCGCGATTCGAAGTTGGCACAGCTCTTAATCTATCGACGACAAACAGCAGAAGAACATGGCGGAGGGACGTTTTTGGCACGGCCTCTACTGACCAGTGATATATCTCGGCGAGTGAGAGCCGTCATGGCGGACGAAAGTCCAAGTGATTCATTATATATGCGCGCTGTCTATAATTATTTCTGACACTAGGTGGCGAAGGTCATAATTATGGTGCTTTGACTACGGATGGCTATGTTGAAGCATTACTGACAGGCTGGAAAGGATAATAAATGCTCGTTGTGGTAAACACAATAACATACAATTCAATAAAGAATAACGAGTTTTCAAACAAAACTTGGTTTGCGTAAATGAGCAGCATGCGTTCTCTTCTCTCTCTTCTCTCTCTTCTCTCTCTCTCTCTCTCTCTCTCTCTCTCTCTCTCTCTTCTCGCTCTCCCTTTTTCTTTGTTCTCTTCTCTCGTAACTCTCTCTTCTCTCTCTCTCTCTCTCTCTCTCTTTCCATCGCTCTCTGTGCGTGTGTCGCCGGTTTCGTATATCTTTCTCTCTGTCTTCCCATCTCTCCCTTTTCTCGCTCGCTCTTTCTCCCCTGCCCTCGCGGTCTCTCTCACCCGCTCTAGCGTGCTCTCTCTCTCTCTCTCTCTCTCTCTCTCTCTCTCTCTCTCTCTCTCTCGCTCTCTCCTCTCTCTCCTCTCTCTCTCTCTCTCTCTCTCTCTCTTTCGCTGACTGTCTTTCTCGCTGACTATCTCTCCCTCTCTCTCGCTCTCTCTACAATATGAGCACCAAATACATGCTGTCAGTCGACATGCTATACGAAGCACTGCTGAGTTACGAACAAAAATGGAAACAATCCTAAAGTTTCGTTCGCAAACCAATTCTTCGAATGTCTGAATAAATCAAAATTCTAGTTTGCTTTGATGCTCACAAAAACCTCCCAACAGTCAGCATGCGTTAGATAACACTATAACACACAATCTAGCACCGGCAACATATCGGTTAATGCTAGAAAACACCGGCAGATTTCTACCGTGTGTGTACAGGCGTGCGTACGCGAGTGCGTACGTATGGAACCTACTGTAATACTATACAATTTTAATAGCTAACTACAAAACACGTTTTATGGGTTAGCGTCAATACTACTTACTGATGCAAGAAAGTAGCATCTAACATAATATATATACACATGTCTACATCATTTACAATTGCTACAGATTTATTACATTGAAATTTACAATTACATTTACATTTACATTTACAATTGAATTTTAGGCACTTTTGACACATATACTCGCCTATAGCAAATACATTGCACTTCGTTACTCTTATTCATGAAAAACGTTCTAGTAAGACAATAAAAATGGTTTATGCAAATTTACAGTGCATAAACACAATATAATATTATAAATGCAGGTCAACGATATATCCATCTGGGTTATTCTATATTATGCGCCATTTATAATTATTTTCCACAGTAGATGTCGCTAAGACGTCAAAATTTAACATAGCATTGTCTTGAATAGTGGCGCCTCTAGCGGATCACGATATCTCTCCTGAGACCTACTAGTTTTTAAAAGCCAAACCCTTTCGTCTGTGAAATATACTATTTACATGATTATAGCTTTGGCGCTTCATAATGATTGAATATCGCGATTGTTATTGATATTTAGTATAGGAATCTGCTCACATGCATGCGCTCCATGATATAAGAATAGAATTTCGACTACTTTTAGTTAATTTTGGGATTTGTAGATCTTAGTATTAACGCATTAGTGTAATAACACCTGCGTTTATCTCTGTGCACCTCTTGGTATTTTCAACTGAAGACCGTTAACCACTCAATCATTGCACGACGCTGCCTCGAAAACGTGATAATTTTCCGTGTCCTCCAGTCTGGCGATTGAACCTGAAAATAACTTTGATGCGTATATATCAATTCATTGTGTTTATTGTGGGCTTAGCCAAGGAAAGCGGAGAATGAATAGGGAGAGACTGACTGACATATAGTCTTTACCGTTAACGAGACCCTGTCGCAAAGTATTTAATACTATAACCACGCATATTTATGCAACTATAACGCATGAAAAGGGCACATACAATTGAACTCATTCAGGTATGTGTGTTATCCTGATTAATCCATTTATATGCTGTAATTAAACGAGTGAACGACATGAATTAAGTATGAAATTATAACAGCTACGGAAGCTGTAGTTGAGCAAGAATTCCTCTATATTTATTTACTCACCTTAGCTGCAATTATGATGCGCATTCGAAGTTGTCACAGCTTTAATCTTCGACGACAAACACGCAGAGAGAACATGGCGGGGACGTTTCTGGCCACGTCTATACTGACCGTGATATATCTCGCGAGTGAGAAGCCCGTCATGGCGTGACGAAAGTCCAAGTGATTCATTTATATATGCGCGCTGTATAATTATTTCTGACACTAGGTGGCAGGTCATAATTATTTGCTTATGCACTACGATGGCTATGTTGAACATACTGACAGGCTAAAGAGATAATAAATGCTCGTTTTGTGTAATACACAATAACATACAATTCAATAAAGAATAACGAGTTTTCAAACCAAAACTTGTTTGCGTAAATGATGAGCATGCGCTTCTCTCTCTCTCTCTCTCTCTCTCTCTCTCTCTCTCTCTCTCTCTCTCTCTCTCTCTCTCTCTCTCTC